AAAAATCCTTGAAAAAGTAAACAAATCCAACAAGGCAAAAGAAAATAATATATCATGTTTAAGAAGATAATATAGGCATCAATCTTTGTAACCCAGTATAAACATTGTTTTTTACACATGACACCAAAAGCAAAACCAGAAAAATAAAAATAGATTATGCTAAGTAAAAGAGTGAGTCACAGATGACTACATATGGTATTTAATTTGTGTGAAATATTCAAGTAGGTAACTTACATAGAGACCGAAAGTAGAGTAGTGGTTACTTACGGATGGAGGTGGGAGTTGGGGCAAAATGAGGAATGACTGATAATGGGTATGGGTATTTTGAAAGAGGGACAGCCATGCTTTATTTAGTTGTTTTGTACATAATTTTTAATCCAATCCAAATATTTTAAAAAAGCATTTCTTTGTTTCTTTGTTGTGATTTATTGGGTTCAGGACTTGAACCTTGGTCGGCTATGTGGGCGTCCACCTCCTCAACCCCCACACCATTAATCCAATCCAAACAGGCATTTTAGGCAGCCTGTATACAGCTACTTGGAAATAGTTCTAGAATAATTTACCTAAAGTCGGTTTTCCCACACATTTTGGTCATCTTTGTTTTGTATGTGACTTTTTAAAAAAAATTTTAGGGCACAAATGTTTTTACTACTCTTGTATTTCTTAAGTTATATTCTGGCTGATCAAAATTGCTTTGTTGGTTTTTGGTCTTTTTATTTAATTACTTTTAAACAACTTAAAGGGTTTTTTTTTTTTGCAACGTGGCTAAAGATTTGTTTTTAATTTTTTTTAAGCTTTTTATTTCATTTTTAGGCCAAATAGGTTCTGAAACACTGAAGAGGGGTTAAATTATGGGTAAACTATTGATTAGCTAAATATCAAGGACAATGATTTTGGAACTGACTAGTCCAATAGCCTTGTGGAAGTTCTCGGGGGTTTATACCGATCTTTGTACATAGTTTGGTATCTTTCTGTGGTATACTAAATGTAGTGCTAGTGAGCATTCACGATTCCTGCATGGCTGAGCGTGTGCAGCATACATGGGATCTTTCTGGCAACGTCTCAGTGTCTTTCGGATCTCACTGGTAAGCAACGCAACAGCAAGATGCTATTGTTCAGGTCCTGGCTGTTTCCATGGGTTTCTTTTCTTCTTGAGTGACCCAGAAGATAGTTTTGGGTAAAGGAGATGGATATCTTTGCTGAACAGAAAGAAACCATTGTGTGCCCAGTTTTCCAATCCTGGGAGCCCAAACACTATGCCACATGTCATCAGTGTCACAAACATGTGCACCCTTGTAAACATCAGCTTCTTAGATGTTGGCAACACAACTATGTGACCATTCAGTTTCCTCACTGAGTTAGTGATAGTCTGTGAATAGACCGGTGCTATTGGGTTGTCAGGAAAGTCATAACACCTTTTTGCATTGAAAAAAAAAAACCCAGAAAAATATGTCATGACTTTCAAGACCAGCTAATAACATCATAGCAAAACCATTGCTCTAGCAGATACTTAGCAAAAGCCATATGAATGTAGAGACACCTCACTGAGATATGTAGTTTACTGGTTGTTTTGTTTATGAGCAGCATTTTCGTGTCCAAGGTACTGGCTTTTTTTTTGGGGGGGGGGGCATGTGTGTTTGCCAGAGATAGACAGAGAGAAAGGGAAAGTGAGAAATTACCCCCCCACACACACACCCTCTCAACCCCCTCCAGAGATGGCCATGCCATGATCACTTCTTCTCCATTCTCCTCTCAGGATTTTGGGCATGTATGCATATACTCTCAGTGTGTTTTTCAGGTCACCAAGTCCAGGACTTGAACTGCAGAGTCAGCCATGTGGGATCCAATCTCCTTAACCTCTATGTTACCTGATGGTACTGGCATTTTAAAAAATGCTGGGAAAAGTGAATATAAGGAAAAAGAGAATCAATAGTAAATGATTTAGGATAGATAGCACCTTAAGAACTCTTCAGTAATTTTATATTATCCTTGTAAACTCAAGGTAAAAATCTAAGGTCTGGGAACCAGCAGTTAGCATAATGGCTATGTCGCTGGACTCCCACGTAGTTGACCGTGGTTCGCATCCCGGACCCAGTGGCTTAAAACTCACGCTGGGTGCGTGTGCGTGCGTGCCCAAGATCCTGAGAGGAGAATGGAGGAGAAGGGATTGCGGCGTGACCATCCCCCCGGGGGGGTGATGTCTCGCTTTCTGTCTCTCTATGTCTGGCTGTCTGGCGAGTGCACGCGCCCTATAATGAAAATCCCTCCAAAAAAAAAAAAAAAATCTAAGGTCTGTAATGTTATTTAAAAGGCTATGGGAGGCACAAACCCAGGCCCATTCTAGAGATAGCTACTGAACTTGAGCTGTGAAATACCGCTTTTAGGCACTAAAAATGAAGATATTCTGCTGAGACTTCTCCCACCAGATTCATTTCTAGTAGGGCTGCCTCTGTATCTTTCTCTCCGTCTTTCTGTCTCTCTCTGTCTCTGTGTCTCCCTGTGTCTTTTAATTTAAAATTTTTTTTTTTTTTTAAGATCAAATAGTCTCTGGGCTCTCAAGCCCCTCCTTTATCATTCTAATTTGTGTCTTTTCCCTTCCCATTTAGGAAAGGCACAAACCCAGGCCCATTCTGGAGATGGCTACTGAACTTAAGCTGTGAAATATTGCTTTTGCGTGGCACAAATGTACGCTGCGTAGTTTTCAGTTTTTTGGTTTTTAAAATTAAATCACAAAATTTTTTTATTGTGTTTTTTTCCCCTTCTTTTCTTTTCTCTAATTATTTTCCTTTTTCCTTTAACTTCATTCCTTGGCTGCTCAACTTCCATGCACAGAATATCTAGACAGGTGAAAGTGAACAGTATCCAAACATCTGAATACCATGAGAGTCAGAATATTTCTCAATTCCCACTGAATCTGATGCACAAAGAGTGAAAAACAGAATAGAAGAGAGATTGCAGTTCACTCTTCCCCCTGTCTGCCTCTGAATGCTCAGATTGAACTTCAAGAAACACACAATCCATCAGATGACTAGAAATCACCACAGGGTCACAAGAAAAATGAGAATGCAAGAAAATACCTCTCCTCCAAGGTGAAAGAAGAACTCCCCTTCATCCTCAGATAGTACAATGGAACTCACAGAAGTGTCGGATAAATAACTTAGAATATTCATAGTGACGAAGCTAACAGAGGTGGAAGAAAAGAGAGACGATAAACTGCAGAAGAGGCAGGAGAAAGGAGCTGATGAGTTCCAGGAGGTGAGGAAGTTCTTGCAAGATCTGAAAGAGGAAGTATATACCATAAATAGGAATCCGATGGAACTTTTAGAGATGAAGGCTATAATACAGGATGTCAAAATCTCCCTTAAAAGCAGACTAGATCATACAGAAAATCGAATCTCAGACGTGGAAGATAGAATCACTGGCCTAAAATAATCGACCATGAAGACTGAGAAAATTTCCCCCCCAAATGAGAATAATATATGAGAAATCCTAGATACTGTCAAACGTCCAAACATCTGGATAATTAATAACCCAGAAGGCGAAGGGATTAATAAGGTCATTGATAATATATTCCATGAAATCCTGGAAGAAAACTTTCCAAACCTAGAGAGGCATTCAAAGATCCAGACCCAAGAAATACAAAGGACCCCAAATAGGATCAACCCAAGAAGATTTTCTCTAAAACACATTATAGCCAGATTGACCAAAACCACAGACAAAGACAAGAGACTAAAGTTGGTAAGAGAGAAACATCAAGTTACCTACAAAAGATATCCCATCAGGCTCACAGCGGACCTCTCATCAGAAACTATATGAGCAAGGAAAAAAATGGGAAAATATATTCAAAGTGTTAAGGGAAAAGCAATTTCAACCAAGAATACTGTACTTGGCAAGATTATCCTTCATATGAGAAGAAAAGACAGGGATATTCTCAGATAAACAAAACCTGAAAGAATTTACCTGCACCAGTCTAGCTTTCCAAGAAGTTCTGAAGGGAGTGCTACATCAGGAGAACTAAATACAGACACACAGAAATAAGAGTTCATAAACAGCTAAGAAAATGGCCAACTTAATGGTAGGGACAAGTCTAGAGTTGAATATTATATCCTAGAATTTAATCAGGAAGATCAGACCACAGCAGAAGATAAAGTACATGAGACTGAACTGGTGAAATAGAACCTTATGACTTTTGATTAAACCATTACTGATTTTCTTCTAGGCCTTGCTTTCCGTGTTTAAGGAATTTTGTCTTATATTGAGCTACTGATAGATCCATGTACCTACTATTTGGACAGAATCCTAACCTGTTTTCTGGCTTTAAGTTTTAAGCAAAACTCTCTTAGCATTTCTTTGATTTTGATTTATTAAAGTTAAAACTTCTATTCTTGAAATTAAAAAAATATATTAAAACATACCTATTTAATGATGGCAGTAAGCTATATAGTATTAGCTGGGTGCTACTTTATAGTATATTCATTCTACTCAGAGTTTCACGCCTCAAGTCAGACATGTATTCACAGATATGTATATATCAGCTGACCTTGCTATTGCAAGTAGTTAGATTATTTAAGATATTTTGTGAATCAATAAAATGTGAGGGGAAAAAAAAAGGCTATGGGACCAGCAGGTGGTATGGTGGTTAAGGTGCTGGATTCCCACATAGTCAACTGTGGTTTGAGTTCTGGACCTGGTGGCTTGAAAATCACTCCAGGTGCATGTGCACACATGCCTAAAATTCTTAAAGGAGACTGGAGGAGAAGGGACTATGGCATGCATGGCCACTCCCCACCCCGGGGAGGGTGGGGGAAGAGTGATTTCTCACTTTTCCTCTCACAATGAAGTAGCCTCACATTTGTAGTTCAGGGTGTGTGCAAATAGAAATAGTGGTAGGGCTCCTAGTGATAACTAGGGGTCATTATTGCTCTCTTGGTTTAACCTTAATTGTTCTAAAATGTGATTTGATATGGTACTCTTTTTCTTTTTATTGCTTTCTTCTGTAGTGTCTCAGTCGTGAACAAGGCATTGAGTGGATCAAAAAAGAACGACTTCCAGCATTTCTGGAAAGTGATTGCTATTTTGAATACAGGTATTGTTGTCCCATCCATATATATGTATATGTGTATATATGCGTGTGTGTATGTATATGTGTATATATGTGTGTATATATGTATATATATTTATATACATATATATAATTTTTTAAATTTAAAATTCTTTTTTTTTAGTAAAATTATCCCACTTGCTATAGAATAAAAGTGATAAGAGCATTGATAAAAATCATTTAGCTTTTCCAAAGAAGTTTTTACAGAATTAGTACCTAACAAATGTATTTTGGTTGTATTTATTTTTAAAAATTCTTTTTATTTTTAAAATTTCTTTGTTCTGAGAATAGAAGCTGTCCCAGTAGGGTTCTTATGATGCTGTTAAACACTCCCATCTTAGCCAGCCTGAATCAGAGGCACATATGCACATGGCATATTCAAGGTGGTGCTGGGATATGAACCCAGAACTTTTCCCACGTGTGGCCAGTTTTGTTATCACTGTCCCACCACCTGTATCTTTGATCAGTTGATTTCTCTCTCTCTCTCTATCTATATTAAAGTTTATTTTGGAACCAGCAGATGGCGTAATGGCTACATTGCTGGATTCCCATGTAGTTGACCGTGGTTCGAGTCCCAGACCCGGTTGCTTTAACTCACTCTGGGCACGTGTGCATGTGTGCCCAAGATTTGGAGAGGAGAATGGAGGAGAAGGGATTGTGGCATGCCCATCCCCCTGGGGGGTGATTTATTGCTTTCTGTCTCTCTCTTTCTGGTGAGCGTGCGCACCCTATATCAAAAACCTCTCCTAAAAAAAAAAGTTAATTTTATTTCTTTCATGAGAGAGAGAGAAATTGGCAGATAGGCTCCTTCAACAAGGTCTCATCATGCCATATACTCTTCCCTCAGCCCTCTGCCTAGTCAGGATGTTGGGTATGTGTTATTATGAAGAAGTTCTACATTTCTTGGAGAGGTAAAAGAATGATATATATATTTATATATAAATGATTAATAAATACATATATATTAATAATTTGGCACTCCCACAAAACTTCTCATTTTAGGGGCATGAATTTCATTTGTACCACAAGTCATAATCTTGGGATCTTAGGTACCTGGCACTTTTTACATCAACTCAGGATCTGACTCTGTGGTCAACCATATGACTTCCAGCGCTATAGATCAATATGCTACTGCCTATGTGACTAAGGCTGGGCCCATTATATTTTTTTAATTATCTCTTTGTGCTAATGGTATTTATGTGCATTATGTTTAAAAATTACTACTAGTATGACATGAAAAAGATAGAATGTCATAGTACAGAACCATTTTTTTCTTTATGTAGCCTGATTTTTAAAGTGTAAATATGTAAAATTTGACCTTTATTAGAACAACTTTTTCTTTTTTTTGGAGAGGTTTTTTGCTACAGGGCATGTGTGCTCACCAGAGAGACAGAGACAGACAGAGAGACAGAAAGCGAGAAATCGCCCCCCAGGGGGGATGGCCATGCTGCAATCCCTTCTCCCCCATCTCTTTTCGGGATCTTGGGCACGCACACACATACACCCGGCGTGAGTTTAAGCCACCGGGTCCAGGACTTGAATCGCGGTTGACTATATAGGAGTTCAGCGACATAGCCATTATGCTAACTGCTGGTTCCAGAACAACTATTTTTTAAATCAAAATAAAATAAATTAAAACAGAATAATTATTAATCAATGAATAGTTCTATAGTAAGCCACTAATTTTAGCAGAGCCCAAGAGAATCATCCTATAGAATAGGAGGGAAGACTGTCTTAAATACATGAAATATAATTTCAGGTTTTCAAAAAAATCCTACCATATTTGAAACTTATTTCAAAACTGTGTGATTTTTTAAAATGCAGGTTAGCCAAATTGGTCTCACAAGTAAGATGGAGCAAGTCAGGCATGACTTTCACAATAGGTACAAATTTTTCTCCCTGGGTCATGAAAAAACCACCCAGTCTACCACCTCCAGCTGTTGAAGAAGACGATTTTGTCATTATGAAGAAGTTCTACATTTCTCTCGGAGAGGTAAAAATGATTTTCTTTTCCTTCCTTCCTTCCTTCCTTCCTTCCTTTCTTTCTTTCTTTCTTTCTTTCTTTCTTTCTTTCTTTCTTTCTTTCTTTCTGCTTCCTCCTCCTCCTCCTCCTTCTTTTAATGATTTGGCACTTCTATAGAGCTTCTCATTTTAGGGGCATGAATTTCATTTGTACCACTTGAATAGGGAAAATTATTTCTAAAGCAGATTTAGCAATAATTCTTGTAGATTTGTGTTAACTCCTTTGCTCTGTACTCTTTCACCCAAAATGCAATTAGAAATACCCTCAGGTGTCTGAAGGAACAAAAAGCAAGAGTAAGGAACATGCTCAGATTACCCAAGAAGCAAGAGTAACCTGAATTATATCCAAGATTTTATCATTCATTCCAAAATTTTTGTTTGGATTCTATTACTTTTGTACCAAAAGATGATAAATCGAGTCATCTCTCTATTGTCTAGATTATTCCTTAGTAGTAAAATGCATTGCTGTTTAATTGTCATCACATGTGGGGTTGTTGAGTGAATTTCAAGAGCTAAAACATAGAATCAAATATCCTTTTGGGAAGTCTCAGTGTAGTGAAAACTGTTCTTTGATCTCTGGCCCTTAATTATGGGATCTTACCTCTGGAAACACATGTCCGATATACAATTCTGTGCAAAATCAGTGATGGCAAATACGTAGCCGATGTTCTGCTCTTCTAGTCTCTGACAGATATGGCTAATCAGTGAGGGCAGCTTTTCCATGGAGCAAAGACATGGCTCCAAATTCTTTTCAATACAGAATTCTGGGCAGGCACTTGCAGTTGATCAAAGGTGTAATGCAAGATGAATCCCCTCCGCCATCTCTGTTGGGATGCATTGATTTACTTGAACTTTTTTCATGTGCAGCTTCTATTTAACTTTGTAGTTTGGCATTTCTATCAGCAATATTAATAAAAAGTGTTTAAAATTATGCCTGTTCCATCATTTCCACTGAGTAATGCTAGGTAATGTGTTCAAGGCACATTTTTCTAATCTCCTTCACTTATTTTTATGTGTTTACTTTTTTCTCTTTTATATTACAAGAATGTCAGAAATGTCATAAAAATATGTACTGATAGCTGAGGCCAATAAACATGCAAAGGGAAGAATCCTTCCAGGGGAGTTAAGTTCTGATTCTGTACATACGAATTTAATCATGTACAAGGGACTAAAACACTCAAGCTATTTTACTTTTGCTACTTTCTGAGATCACAAAGCTTATTTCTGTTCATTTATACTTTATATACTGTCATTTTTCAATAGCCTCAGAGCTTTGAGGATTCAGTTTTTGGGTCCTTAAATTGTTTAAGCCATGACTGTATAGGGATTAGTATTTATGATAATTGGTAGTATTTCTTCAATTATACTATATAAACACAATAGACACATCTCATTAAAGTATAAAGTCTCATAATAAACTGCTTTTTTTTTTTTTTTTTTTTTTTGTTAACTAGAGGTTTTTCCTTTAGGATGTGTGTGCTTACCAGAGAGAAAGACAGACACAGTGAGGGGAAAAGTGAAAAATCACTCCCCAAGGGGGCTGGCCACACTGCAGTCCCTTCTCCTCCATTCTTTTCCTGGGATCTTGGGCACACACATGCATGCACATGCACCTGTCATGATTTTCAAGCCACTGGATCCATACTCAAACCACGGTCAGCCATGTGGAGTCCAGCAACTTAACTGCTATGCCATCTTCTGGTCCCATAATGAACTGCTTTAATGTCTGACTGATGACTTATTTCTCCCTTATCCTCTACTTTCTCAACACTTTTGTGTGGAAATAACAGAACATTTCTTTATTGATCTCTCTCGATTCTGTGAATGTTTTAAATTACTTTGACTTCTTGTCAATGGTTAGGCTCTTTCTTAGAACAGAGCTCAATAAATATATGTTGAATGAACATATGATGATAATAAATGACTTGGTTTTAAAAGAAATGAAAGAACAAAGATGAATTAAAGTCTTTGGAAACTTTATTTTTTTAAAAGAGAAATTTTTGTTATAGGACTTTTGTGCACTTACTGGAGAGACAGGTAGAGACAGAAAGCGAGAAATCACCTCCCTCCCTCCCAGGGGGAGTAGCCATGCTGCAGTCCCTTCTCCTCCATTGTCCTCTTGGGATTTTGAGCATGCATGTACACATGCCTGGTGTGAGTTTTAAGCCCCTGGGTCTGGGACTCAAACAGCTGTTGACTATTTGGGAGTCCAGCAACATACCCATTACACCATCTGCTGGTCCCAGTCTTTGGGAACTTTTATGTACCCAGGAAATCTTACCTCTAAGAGGGGGCAGTGATTACAAAAAGGACTCATCTCGTTTCTTTTGCTTTGTCTCATCACGCGGCTGTCTTACCCTGTGAATTCTGTGTAATAAGGGAATAATACCTCTTTGATTTGAGCTCTGCCTCTTCTGCGATTGTTTTTTGGCTAAGTACTGACGAGCTCACTCAGTTAGAGAATTGAGAAATGAGAGGAATGCTAAACACTCCCTTTTTTACTTTTGCTGAACAACTTGGATTCCCTAGGGAAAACAAGAAAAACGGAGAGGCAGGCAGAGGTGTTTTCCCAGGAAAGATAGGATAAGGAGGAGCTTGTGAGGGCTGGGGTTCTAGAAACTAAGGGTCAGCTTGGAAACTGGGTGGGCAGATCCCCAGGTACAGACAGCAAAGGAAAAACTGAAGCTGCATTTATGGGCCATGGGGCATCCGGTCTCAGTTTAGAGGAAGCATACTATCCAAGCAGAGTTGCATAAGCTGAATCTGAGGTGAAGGGGTGGCCCAACTTGGAGAGGTTTCTGGTGAGTCTCTGTCATATATTGTTAAAAACACAGAGCCAGGTCAGACAGAATTGGGTGTGTGAAAGATTGCCATAGTTGTAAAGAGGAGCAGCTAGCAAAAGGTGCTAGCTTTCTTAGCCTTGGTGGCTGCCAAGTTGAAGTCAGATGTCATGAGTTTGTAGAAATTTCAGTAAATAAGGTTCATGTCTTTGGTCAGCATTAGCTTGACAGTAATAGTGGAGAAGAATTTGATGGGTCTTGAGCTTATTTTCTTCCTGTTTTTATCTAATATAAAAAATCTGGATTGGGGTCAGCAGGTGCTGTTATGATTAAGGTTCTGGACTTCCACATGACTGACTGCAGTTCGAGTCCCGAACTTGGTGACTTGGAAATCATGCCAGGTGTGTGTGCCTGTATGTCCAGAATCTTGGGAGGAGACTGAAGGAGAAGGGACTGTGGCGTGGCCATCCTCCCTGGGGGGTGATTTCTCACTTTCCTCTCTCTCTCTCTCTCAGTCTCTATATCAAGCAGATGCACCCTATAGCAGAAATCTAAAGAGGAAAAACAAATCTGGACTGATACTTCCTTTCCATCATTCTATTAGCTAATTAATTTTTCTGTGTAAAATTTTCTTTTCTTCCATAGGATAATATTTTTTAACAGATGTGCTATACAAATTAATAGTATTACTATGATTTACCTAGGTTTGTGATTGGGGGAATACTGCTAATCTTATGTTGAACTCATCCTCTGTTTTCTTCCTAGGCCTCCTATACTCAAACAAAAGATTGGTTTACATTAGCAAAGCAAAGTCAGCAAACAGTCTCCACCTTTTCATTACCCTGTTGCATTCTCCACAACAAAGTCCAATCATCTGTTTCTGGTAAGCAAAAAAGGGCAAAATGGACCTCGAAGTCCTAAGTGTTTTTACCTCCTCTGCCCCCTCAATTTATACTAAAACAGTTAGTGGGTTGGGGAGAAGAGATTTTTCATACCATCCCATCCCCACTCTACTTCTTACTGTCTTTTTGAGAGGCAGTTTGATATGGTGAAATGGGGATGGTTTTAAAACTCAACCTTGAGGGCCAGCAGGTGATGTGGAGGTTAAAGCACAGGATCCCACAGAGAGGGGAAGGGATTGTGGCTTGGCCTTCCCCTACCCACCCGGCACCAAGCTGATTTCTTACTTTCCCTCTCTGTCTCTGTCTGGGTAAGTCCATGTGCTCTTCAGCAAAACAAAGAAACAAAACCAACATTGACGCTTACTGGCCTTGTGATGAACTATTCTATTTTACTTCTGGGAGCCTTTTCTCATCTGTAACATTAGAATAATGACATACTAAATATATAGAAAAAGCCTATTCTAGTGTTTAGAACCTAGCAGGCAGTCAATAAATGTTTGCCTTATGTTTATTTCCTGTGATAGTTTGCAAATTTTTACTATTAAGCCTTTGCAACAAAGTGGGTACAACAGTTCTTTCTTCTTAAAAGTAAATAGTCACGGGGCCAGCAGGTGGTATAATGGTTAAAGGTGCTGGATTCTCACATGACTGACTGCAGTTCAAGTCCTAGACCTGGTGGCTAGCTTTCTCACTTTCCCTTTCTCTCTCTCTGGTTAAATTAAAAAATAATAATAGCAAATGGAAATAAATAAATAATTATTAGGGGGAAAAAGTAAATAGTCATTTGTGATCATTGGTTTTCCTTTATATTTTTAAGTTCAGACTATTTTTCACCTTGAAAAGCAGATAAATTCATAATGTCGGTGATACAAATGTTTTGTAAAAATAGAAGGAAACTTCCAGAAGTGGGAGTCACTAACTGTGATAGTGCTAGAAAAAAATTGAGATGTGATTCAAGAGAGTTTATAAATTCACTAATGGCTTTTTTTTGTTTTTAATTGCTAGAGGGTGGATGCACCCACCAGAAAGAGACAGAAAGAGAGAGAGGGACAAAGCATTCTCCAAGAGGGCATGGTCACATGGCAATCCATTCTCCTCCATTTTTCCATCCCTTCAGGATGTTGGGTACACATGCACATGTACCCAGAACATTCTTCAAGCCTCTGGAGCCAGGGGATTGAACTGTGATGAGCCATGTGGAGTTTGGCTCCCTTAACCACTAGGATGTGGGGCCAACCCACTAATAGTTCCTTTTTTAAAAAAAAAATTATTATTTTCTTTCTTTCTTTCTTTCTTTCTTTCTTTCTTTCTTTCTTTCTTTCTTTCTTTCTTTCTTTTCTTTCTCCCTTTCTTTCTTTCTTTCTTTCTTTCTTTCTTTCTTTCTTTCTTTCTTTCTTTCTTTCTTTTCTTTCTCCCTTTCTTTCTTTCTTTCTTTCTTTCTTTCTTTCTTTCTTTCTTTCTTTCTTTCTTTTTCTCTTTCTTTCTCTCTTTCTTTCTCTCTATCCCCTCCATAGAGGGATAGAGCAAGAAAGGAGGATAGGGAAAGTGAGAGAGCAAGCTACCAGGTCTGGGAATCTAGCACCCTTAACCACCATGCCCCTGCCAGCCTGATCTTTTCTTTTCTTTCCTTTTTTAGAGATTTTTGCCTTAGTATGCTCACTGGAGAGAGAGAGAGAGAGAGAGAGAGAAAACCACCCACTGGGAGGATGGCTACGCTGCAATCACTTCTCCTACTGGGCTCTTGGGCACACATGCAAAGATGCCTGGCATGAATTTCAAGCCACTAGGTCCAGGATTCCAACCATAGTTGGCCATGTGGAAGTCCAGTGATGTAACCACTATGCCATCTGCCTGTCATATCAGTTCTTTTTTAATTTTTACATTTTATATATAGAGATTTTTGCTGTAGGGCATGTGTTCTCACCAGAGAGACAGAATGAAACAGAGACAGAAAGTGAGAAATTATCCCTCAATGGGGTTGACCACACCACAATTCCTTCTCCTCTATTCGTCTCTTGGGATTTTGTGCACACGCACACACACACACACACACACACATACACGCACCCAGCATGAGTTTCAAGCCACCAGGTCCAGGACTCGAACCATGGTCAGCCATGTGGGAGTCCAGTGATATAACCATTACACCATCTTCTGGTCCCTATACTGGCTTATTGAATACTCTCTGTGGTAAGATGGCAAATATTTCATCTATCTGCCACCATTCTGCCCTTACATGTCCAGGGAAGACAGGTCAACCCCTGATGACAGTTTTTTCCTGCTGGTTCCAAATATGGCTTCAGAATCCTTTTTAAGATGCCGGTCTGTGTAGTCGCTATCTGTGATAAACCCATTTGCCACCCTGGCTCTGTAGCATCTATTTGGTAATAAAAGAAGTTTGGTACTCCTATCTAATCTAATAGCCTTTTATGATTTGATACAGAGAGTTTTATCTTTGATGATGGTGTTCACCCCAGGACAAGAAAAGGCCCGTCTAAAAGTACTAAGTTATTTTCTGAGTTTGAAGATGAAGAAGACGAAGGGTCTGTATCTCTACATGATACTCCTTCCCAAGCTCTTCTGAGACTGTATCTTGAAAAGCAACAGGATGTTGATGAAAGCTCGACATTATATTTCTCGACATGTGAAGAATTTTTAGACTCTTTTGTAAACTTTATTTTGGTAGTAGCAGTTCAGCAAATTACCGGAGAGCCATTCCGAGAAAGCCCAGGCTATATAAACTTCACCAACGTAAGACAAATATCTTTTGGTGATTATTGTGATTCTGTCATTTGCAAAAATTTTTTAAGTAAACCAGTTCAAATTACAGAGGAAAGGTCAGAGGAGAATTTAGACCAAACAAGTTTAAGTTCACAGAGTGAGAGTCCTGGAGCAGAGACCAGGGCTGACTGGTGCCTTTCCCACCGAACTTATGACATTGGCAATAGAAAAGAGTTTGAACGGTTTAAGAAATTTATTAAAGGTACCTTAGGAGAGAGATACTTGTGGCTGTGGATGGACATTGAGCGGTTAAAAGTTCTTAAGGATCGTGGAAGACATCAAAGGTATTTCTATTTTTTAATAATTTAAAAAACAAGTGGTAGAATATTAGTTTGATTTATTAAAGCACAGGCAGAAAGCCTGAAATAAATATAAAAATGTAACTTATACTTTGGGGAGAATGAATAATAAAACAATTTATTTAATAATAATACTGATTTCACTCATTTTATGATTTCATAGTTTTTAGATACTAATAATGACAGTTATCTGGATTTGCCTAATGTTTCTTCCCATAAATTCTAGAACTGCTTTTAGATTAGTCATTCTATTTTAGTTTATATAAACATTGTAGTGATGTAAAATGTTTATAGAAACAAATAGTTTACCAATTATATAATCATACTGGCATAAGATAGATACCTAATGCTGGTGTAAGGGCCTGCTGTTCCCAGCAGCCTCCTTGTCAACAACTTCCACACTCTTTGGTCAAATTCCATGTAGCTGGATGTCTGAAAACATCTTTGCTACAGAGTCTCTTGGAGGTCTGCTGGGGCTCGGATCTTCATTTGACCAGCTCCATATGTTTCAGGTTAGTGTAAGTCTAAGAACCTTAGAAGGCCCTTGCTTTAGGAAGGTCTTTGTCTGTATTCACCAGATACGTTCTGAAGCTCCTTAACCTCACTAGGCTGCAATGCCTATGGTGGGTTTGATTGATTATATACTAATGACTGGATTACCACAGTAATTTTAATGGCATTCAGAACATAGCACTCATCATTGTACATGGTTATGAATAGGGGTCGCCAAATGGTTAATTATGGAGTGTGATTTGCTTGCTCATGAGGTGGAAGGTCATTTTCAAGACCTGAAGTTAAATGAAGTAACCTGTATAGGTTTTTCAGGATCGATATTGTAGTTCCCATTGTTGCTGTAATAAATTACTTATTGATGATTAAGATACCAGTAAATTACAAATTTTATTTATCCTTTTTTACAAATTATTTTATTTAACTTTATTTATTTATTTATTTTAATTTGAACAGAGAGGGAGAGAGAGAGAGAGAGAGAAAGTGATAAAGCTAGTGGGACTCGAGCTGTGGTCGGCCATGTGGGAGTCCAGCACTCTTAACCACCACGCCACCTGCCAACCCCTATGTACCGTTATTAAATTCTGGAATTAGAAGGCTCTATGGCGGAGCTCCATTTCCTTGCCTTCCAGTTTAGGAAGGCCGCCACGTGCAATCCTTGGTTAGTGGCCCCTTCCTTCATCATCAAAGCCATTAGCATAGCATCTTCTCTTCTCTCTCGACCTCCCCTTCTATCCTCACATCTTTCCTGTATGGTTCTGACCCTCCCAACTCCCTCTTAGGAGAATCTGTGTACAGTGGGAACACCCAGGTGATCTGGGGTTGTCTCCTTAAAGTCTCTAATTTTGTCACATCTACAGAGTCCCTTTTGCCAGGGAAGGTCACATAGTCACAAGTTCTGGAGATATGGATGTAGACAGCTTTCCAAGGCCATTATTCAGCCTACCACAGATTCCCACAACTGCAAGACATATTTTTATTTCCACAGAAATGTTTGGCACCCCTGCTACACAGTGTTGGTTTTGAGATAGCTCATTATTTGTCTGCAACATTTCAGAAGTGAAAACATTTGTTAAGTTGAATATTGTATTTTATGTATATATATGGGTGTGTGTTTTATTTCAGACATCTCGAAAAGATGAAAAAATTCTATCTAGTGAGCAATGGAGATTGCTACCTTTCTGCAGAAATCTTATCAAAATTTAAACTGTTAGATGGATCTCAGTGGACGGAAGAACACTTAAAAAATATTCAGTGTGAGGTTGTAAAACCTTTACTTCTATATTGGTAAGCAAAATAACATAAATTAGTTATTTAACAGTTATTTTATTTTATTTTTTTCCTAGAGGGTACAAGCACTTGCCAAAGAGAAACATTCAAATATATAATATATAATTTTTATTTAAAATTTTTTTTTTTTTTTTAGATTTTTTTGCCATAAGGCATATGCACTCATTAGAGACAGTGAGAGAGAAAGTGAGAAATCGCTCCCTGGAGGGTATGGCCACACTGCAATCCCTTCTCCTCCATTCTTCTTCTGGGATTTTGAGCATGCATGCGTACATGCCTGCCATGATTTTCAAGCAGCTGGGTCTGGGACTTGAACCAGGGTCAGCCATGTGGTAGTCCAGTGTCTTAACTACCATGCCACCTGCTGGCCCCAATATGTATTTTTTTTTCTTGCTGGAAGGCACAGAGAGAAAGTAACCTCCCCACCACCACTAGTGGGGCATGTCTCAGTCCTGTCAGGATTTGGGGCATACACACATATGTAAACAGCATGTTTTTCAAGTGCTGGAGCCAGGATTTGAACAGTGATCAGTCACGTGGGATCCAGCTTCCAACGATTAGCACTTAACCATTGCTCTATGGGGTCAGCCAGTATGTAACCTTTGGTAATAGCTTTTAAAAATACAGAGTAACTCCCTTGAGATTCATCCAAGTTGTGTATATCAACAGTTTTTTCCCTTTTATTGCTGGTAATATTCCATTGTATGGATACACTATACCTGTTCATCCATAGAAGGAAATTAGTATTTCCAATTTTGAGCTATTACACTGGATACACACACTCACAAACATACTAAATACAAGTCTTTGGTGGTTATGTGGCAAATATCTTATGTCACTTGGTAGACCTTGAGAATTAAGATGTGGGGGCCGGCAGGTGGTGTGGTGGTTGAGGGCAGTGGACTCACGTGTGGCCAATCGCAGTCCCGGACCTGGCGACTTGCTTTTTCACTTTCCCTCTCTTTCTCTTTCTCTCATGTTGTCCCTCTCTGGTCAAATAAATTAAATGAATAAAGTTAAATAAAATAATCCTTTTTTTTTTTTTTTGGAGAGGTTTTCGCTATAGGGCATGTGTGCTCGCCAGACAGACAGAGAGAGACATAGAGTCAGAAAGCGAGAAATCACCCCCCAGAGGGGATGGTCACGCCGCAATCCCTTCTCCTCTATTCTCCTCTCGGGATCTTGGGCACGCACGCACATGCGCCCGGCGTGAGTTCTAAGCCACCGGGTCCGGGATGCGAACCGTGGTCCACTACGTGGGAATCCAGAGACATAGCCATTACGCTAACTGCTGTTTCCCAATAAAATAATTCTTTAAAAAAAAAAAAAAGAAGATGTGTATAATCAGTACCCACAAAGCCTTATATCAAAAATAGTTCTGGGTTTACTGTAAAATACTCTACAATATCAGATTAATTCATATAATAACTAATCAAAGATTAATGCTATATGGGGGCCAGCACGTGATGGAGTGGTTAAGGTGCTGGACTCCCATGTGGCCAACTGCAGTTTGAGTCCCAGACCTGATGACTTGAAACATACTGGGTGTATGTGTGTGCATGCCCAAAATCCAGAAGGAGAATGGAGGAGAAGGGATTGTGGAATGGCCATGCAACATGGGAGGTGATTTCTTGTTTTCTGTCTGTCTGTCTTTGTCTCTCCAGTGAGCACACATGCCCTATGGCAGAAATATCTTAAAAAAAAAAATTAATGCAATATTAATGAAATGAGTTTAAGATCAAAATGTAAGGGCAACAGGGACCTGTGGAGTTATATTGATATACTCCAATGATGTGAATCAGAAAATAGGCACTTATATTTCCTAGTTATCCGTGTGTGATTTATTTGGTAAGGCTCTTACTGATGTTTCCACTTACTGGTTGACATGCAAATAAAAGGTAGTTTTGGATATTTTAAAGTCTGCAAGTAAAGGTTTTGAAATGTAGTATAGAACAACCAACAGATCTGTATCGTATGCTTTTTAAAATGGTTTGTTTTAAATTTTATTTATTATTATCATCATTTTTAAATTAATTAGAGAGAGAGAAAGTGAGAAAAGAAGCTCCCAGGCCTGGTACTCAAACCACGGTCGACCATGTGGGAGTCAAGCACCTTAACCACTACTCCACCTGCCAGCCCCAGTACAGTATGCTTTCTAATCCTAAACTAATTATGGACTTTGGATTCTTTTCCATTTCCACTCCAGTTCACAATGGTGTGCGTCTACCTTCTCTGTATTTTTTAAGAGTTATTTTATTTCACTTTATTTATTTATTTTAATTTGATCAGAG